CTCTAAATCTTTTTTCCCCAACTTTAGCAAGTATCCTATCTGCACACCTCCCTTCTTTACCAAAAGTATGTAGTTTTTCTCCCTGGTGTCGTATACCTATCATCGACGAAGACGTCACGGGTAAGACGACACCTGGGTAAACATTGGCAGCATTTAAACTTCTTCTAACCGACGCTCCACAGTGTACCCGAGGAAGGCCTATTAAGAAGGCCGAAAACGTTTGTACTCCAGTTAATAAGGCTAGAAATTAGTGAGAAAGGTTTTATGCTGCTAGTCTATTCCAAGTGAAAGGAAGATATTTTGAAAGTCTTCCTTTCACATATATTAATAACATTATGTTTGAGGTTACACAGCTTTTAGAAAACATGCTAGGGATATCTGATAAGGACTACAGCACAGCTTAATTATATACAAAGCTTTGACCAAAGATATATATTTTGTATATTTCATGGAATGATACCAAACTTCTAGAACCTACTGGATCATATGATAACCACAATAACCGTGAAAATTCTTGAACCCCTCTTTGTATAACTTATATTTTTAAAGTATATTTTACTACAGTTAATGTCTCATTTCAGGTAAAATCTGATAAATACAATATCCACATCAGAATTAGAGTTTAAATCCTGCCTGAGTGAGGAACATTTGCTATTGCGGTAGCCATTACATGTGTGAGGGGCTAGATGGGGATATGGAGTAGTTAAGACTCTTGTACCACTTAATCGGCAACTATTCTCTCAGCCCTCTGTTTGTCTTACAAGGATGGTTTTCCTAATTCAAGGAAAATTGAGGGTGGAGGGCTTTAACCAATAAGTTCATTTACAGTTTGAATGTTAATTTAAAGTGGAATTAGATGATTGCGTAATCACCCTTTTCCTTCTGTCAGGATTCCCGACACCAGTTAATCAGATTTATACTACGTGGATTAACATGCATTATCCCTAACTTGTGAGTAAGAGGAATGANGCCTATTAAGAAGGCCGAAAACGTTTGTACTCCAGTTAATAAGGCTAGAAATTAGTGAGAAAGGTTTTATGCTGCTAGTCTATTCCAAGTGAAAGGAAGATATTTTGAAAGTCTTCCTTTCACATATATTAATAACATTATGTTTGAGGTTACACAGCTTTTAGAAAACATGCTAGGGATATCTGATAAGGACTACAGCACAGCTTAATTATATACAAAGCTTTGACCAAAGATATATATTTTGTATATTTCATGGAATGATACCAAACTTCTAGAACCTACTGGATCATATGATAACCACAATAACCGTGAAAATTCTTGAACCCCTCTTTGTATAACTTATATTTTTAAAGTATATTTTACTACAGTTAATGTCTCATTTCAGGTAAAATCTGATAAATACAATATCCACATCAGAATTAGAGTTTAAATCCATAATCCAGTAAAAAAGAAATGATCCTGTAACCAATTCTGTAATTTAATTGAAAATTTTGTTATAGAATTATTAAAACATTACCTTTGTTTATAATTAATTAATATTTTAATACAAAATAATTCATTTATAAAAGAAGAAAAGAATTAGCTCTGACCTAGGTCAGTTCTTTTTTTTTCAGATAATTCTAAATTATTTAAATTATAATTATTAATTTAGATAAGAGATGGCACCTAACATCTACCTCTAGTAGCAAATTACTTAGTATTAATTATTAAAATTAGTGGATTTATAGCCGAAGTATTTAAGATGATCATTTGGCTATGTATTTAAAAGATGATGATTTATAATTTTACCTTTAAGTCTCTATGAACAATATGTCTATCATGACAATATTCAACAGCAGAAATAATTTGCCAAAACTTTTGTCTTGCCATACTTTCCAACATTCTTCCTTGAGTGGCAATGAAATCTATTAATAAAATATTTAAAAAATTATTTATTGAAATTACTATCAGATTTAGTTAATATTTATATTAAAGCTGAAAATTTCTTCTGTGAATATAATAAAAATATTGATGTGGAAAAGTATAATATATATAACATACAGTAGAACTGAAGTTCTTTATTATCTGAGGCAAATCTGTAAATGAATATACTACCATACTTTTTATAATTCATAAAAGCTTTTCTGTAAATGCACTGAGCATGTAAATACTGTAGTACTTTTAACCTTGACTGTATCAAGTGAATGGCTGATGATGATTATACTATTTTTTAATTCTTTCTACCCTCTAATCATTAAGGAACTCTTCTTTCTATGCCTATCACTGGCTTGGTCAGGCTGCCACAATGAAGGTTTTAGGTGACAAGAGATGGAGTCTGACATATCCAGGACAGACTGCCATGAAAAATGCTGCTAAAATTATTGTGGAACACTGCACAAAGAAAGGAGAAACTGCTATAAAATAAAATTGGACTTTTTAAAGAAAATTTAAAATGATAACATATATTAGCTTCTTTAGCCAAATGAAAGAAGATTCTTCTTTTGTTTGGCAAAAGAAGATACAACATGAACGATTCTCCCAATCATAAAAAAAGAAAGCATGATTATAACAAATCCTCAAATAAAGAAGTCCATCCAAAATTTTGAAAGTTGAATCATTTGGATCAGAAGTTGATTTGAAATCAGGAGGATGTGTTTGACGATTCAGCAAAGTTTCATGCCAGGAAACATTAGAATATTGATGGCAAAAGACAGATAGGATGTTACAGAATTCCAGGGGCGTGCCGTGACATTTGATGATAGGGAAGCTGTGTTTCTGTAAGAAGCCGACATCCAGGAACAATCAGTCAATTGTGTGTCAGTGATGGTCTAGGGCAGTGGTTCCCAACCTTTTTTCATTAGCATACCCTGTGACATGTCATATCTCTAGATTGTACCTTTCATTTAAGAAATTTAGTGAGTACTCATATTGTTAATTTTACATATTGTAACTTTAAATTAAAAAAAAAAAAACTAAATGAAAAAATGCATAATAAACTTGTGATTGTTGCAAGGAACATTTTTTACCTAATAATTTTTTAATACTATTAGTTTGTGATACATAATATATTATTTTTTTCTGCCATAATAACTAACTTTTTTCTGTACCCCTAAACAATCTATCGCCTACCCCTAGGGGTACGCGTACCATAGGCTGGGAATCGCTGGTCTAGGATCCATTTGTATTGTATATTCGATAAGCCAGTAAAAACCGTAGACTTCTCTAAATGTATTTTTAATATCACAATTACATTCCGAATTGCTAGCCACGATATAAGGGCTACAATTAAAAATAAAATAATAAAAACTTACTTGGTGAAATAAAATATGTGGTGGATGTACTNATGTAAGGAGGCAGTCCACGATGAAGCTTTTGATCTTTTCAAGTTGTATGGTAGGTGATGATGCTTTGTCTACGATAGGACATAGTTGTGTGGCCGAACACCTTTTGGGGAAATTTTTGAATTGAAATAACATTACTTCTGGTTTGCATTGGAAGTTCATATATAGTTAATTGGGATCTCCTTTCCCTAAGGGAGAAGATATTGTTGAAGAACTCTAGAGTATCTCAGAACACAGTTTGAATACCATTACTTTAAAGTATAAGAAATGTTTCATTCCTTTTTTAAAATACTTATTTGCAACAATTTTTAATTTATGTATAAATATATACAACACTATTCCATATCTTGTCTTTCATCTATATAATCCTGTTCTCGAGGTTAAGGAAAGACAGACTGACAGACGAACAGAAGGACAGAGAGAATTTATAGGTTTACAGTTTTTCAAATTGTAGCCCAATTATACGCAGGCACATACACACACTTTATTAAGAATCAGATAAATTCAAAATCCTCAAACAAAACATCTGTTATGGTTGTTTTATTACATATTGTTTTATGAAATTAAAATAAATTTATTAACAAACAAAAATTATTAAATCTTACCAAAAATTTCTCCTTGACTAGCATATTCAGAAACTAAATATATTAATATTTATATTAAAGCTGAAAATTTCTTCTGTGAATTAATAAAAATATTGATGTGGAAAAGTATAATATATATAACATACAGTAGAACTGAAGTTCTTTATTATCTGAGGCAAATCTGTAAATGAATATACTACCATACTNATTTTGTTTCACAAATTTTTTAATTTAAAAAATCCTACTTAATTATAAGAATCAATAATTAATTTAAAATAATAAACACTGCAATAACCTAACAAACCAGCGACAAAATTATAAACAAAGTGCAAATGTTTTTGCCCATGTTAAACAGGCATCATCAAGCAACAAACTGCTGAGAAAGACACTGGGAATTGCTGAACACATGTGTAGGGGGGAAAGAGTGTATGACATAAAAAGAGAGGAGGGGGAAGAGAAAGGAGTCAATGTTGCAATAGTTTATAGCTCAGTTATGGTGGGTGGCCTTGTAAATTTCTACTTGTTCCAAATGTTTAAGGACATATGGTTTAGATTCATTATGTAAGAAGTGTGTATCATGGAAATTACCTGGATGCCTGGGTTGAATGTGTAGATAGTCACAGTCATATTGGTTAAACCTTTTCTGATAGATGTTTGATGTTCTGTGAGATGGATATGTAATGGTCGAGATGTAACACCTATCTATTGTAAGTTGCAGTTGTAATGATGGTCAATGATGGGGATACTGTAGATGCCTGGCAGGTGGTTCTTGTTGGGACAGTCTTTGGTAGTGTGAAGGAGAGACGCAATAGCTGGACTTCTGCAGAATGCCAAACAACATTTGTTTCCTCACACAGTTTCTTTGTAAAGTGTGACAAGGGACTTGTTGTAGGTGACAGCCTTAAACTTTCTTTCTTCTTGAGAGGGTTTAATTAGCTGGGTGAAAGTGGTGTTGGAAAGATTGCATACAAGTCTCCTAATAGTGTGCGGCAAGTAACCATTCTGGCGTATTGGATAAAAGTACAAAGCTCCTTCTCTTTCCTGTTTGCGAGATGAATAGGAAAATGCTCTTCATATTAAGGATCTGAAAGCTGCCTTTTTGAAAGTGAAAGGATCATGGGATGAGACTGGGATGTAGGTAGGGAGATCGGTGGGTTCCCTGTAGACCTGACTAGACAGGTGTTCCAGTTTGTTGGTGATTTAGATGTGCATGACAATGAATGGAGTGGGCATTGCTCTGTTCAAGATGGAGTACTAGGTCGAAGGTGTTGTGATTGATTGCTTGTAAGAAATCCAGAATAATGGATTTATCCCTCCAAATTATACAAATATTATCAATATATCTGGTATACAGGTGAACATGGCTGGTGAAGGTGGGAAGGACGGTGGTCTCAAGTTGACGTACTACTAATTTGCATCAGATAAAGGGCTGCCCATAGGGACCCCTTTACTTTGTAGGAAAGTTTCTCCTTTGAAGGAGAAAAAGGATGAATGGCAGAGATGATCAGTTAATTCCAATATGTGTGTGTGGTGTTTGCGTCCTTAACATGGGTGAGGAAGAAATCCCAGAGGGAGCAGAAACAAGGTTCAATGCAGATAGATGGGTATAGTGATTGGAAGTCAAAGACCATGAAGTGAAGTGTGTCCCAGACAGAAGTTCCTTGAGGTGACTTATTAATTCCAATTGTGGAATGTGGGTATGTAAGGAGGCAGTCCACGATGAAGCTTTTGATCTTTTCAAGTTGTATGGTAGGTGATGATGCTTTGTCTACGATAGGACATAGTTGTGTGGCCGTCAGCCGTATCGACATATGTATTTTAATTTGTATATAGTTATAATTCCAATCTTCTTTCCCTATTTCTTCTATTTCCTTTGTCTGTTCCTTCTAGAACCTTCCAAATGACAGTTCCAAATGACCTTCTAGAACCTTCCAAATGATAACTGTCATTTGGAAGGCCTTTGGGTGGAATTAGCCGTTCTGAGAATCGGAAAGAACAATAGCGTATAGGATTAGCCGTTCTGAGAATCGGAAAGAACTATAGTTGTAGGAGGAATGGTGGAAAGATAGCAAGAGAGAGGAAGGCAGTATTGAAGGAGACACGGAGAGAGCTAGACGTGTCAAAGGGAGCTCCAAATGTTACTTCGTGGCGAAGAACAAAGGAATTCTTTGAGAAGTCGAGTAATGAACTGAGGAGGAACCATGGTCAGATCATAAGGCCTACAGGCACCTCGAGATAGATCGGGAAGAGCCCAAGGAAGTGGAATCTCCACGATTAGAGATCCGGTGACTGGCGTGTTGAAGACCTTCCAAAAAGCAAGGAGAGTCAAGAACATAGTGGAAGCGAGAGCCATCGTTGTTAAGAGAAAATCCTACCCAAAACGCAGAGACATCAGAACATAAAAGGAAAGGCCCGAATGAAGTTATCTCTTTCTTTCTTTTACCTTCCCGCTGTCCTGTCTTCCTTGTCATTTCCTTAGTATTAAGTTAGCCTTAAGTTAGGGTTAAGTTAGATTTAGTTACGCGAATATAAAATATTAATTGTTACGCGCTAGGAGGATGTCATACCATGAATTATTGTAAAACTGAAAGATTTTCTGTTGATACCCCTTGCATTGTAAAGATTTCATACATCAGTTGGGATCCCTGATAAAACCGAACCTGTTTGTATTGAAAAAAAAGGAAAGTGTTTATTATTGTAACTGTCGCAACATTTCTTTCTGTGCTTTTCATTCATGGATCGTACTATTTCAACCACACGAACACCACAGTTGGTTGCCAGGTTTCTGAGCTTTGGCAAAGGTGAAGATGCATAGATTGGCTGGGGTGGTGATGGCAGTGTGGCAGAAATGGAGGATACTTGCTAGAGGGGTGTTGGTGAGGCTAATGACTCTAGCCTGTAACTTACTTAGGTAGTTATTAGAGGCAATAGAACATCTAGTGTCCTGGATATAGTCCTGTAACCTCTTGCAGTATGTGATCAGTGCATCAGTACAATTTTCTGCCAAGGGATTATCTTCTGAGAGCCCTTTCTATGGGAACTGGTTTCTATTTCAATGTTAGACACATGAAGAAAAACCAAAAAAACTCATGGCCAGCATGTTGGTCAGATGTGAATGCAGGACTAACTACCAGTGTTTAGTGGTTTAATCCATTCAGGCAATGGTGAACCTAAAGATATTTCAATAAAGCACTAATGGCCATATTCACATCCAAGGATTAAGAATTAGAGTTAGGAGTTAACAACCATTTACTTCACTTTAGAATGTAAATGCTTACTGGTTAACTTCTAAATGTAATTCTTGATCCTTGGTTATGAATACAGATGTAATTGTCTTTAAATGATTGTTATTATTGTATAAAATATAGCAATTAGTTTTAAAATTTGATAAAAACAATATTCTTTTAATTTTAATGGATGATGATCATTTTAAAAGTGCAGAAATAATTTAATTATAAACAAGGAACATTTTTTATATTTTAAAATATAAATTAAGACTGTTATGTAGTTACAGATGAAAGTTTTTATTAAAACAACCACTCAAAAACTCAGCTTACAAAATAACAAAGCTAACATTTTCACCCATGTTAAAAGGGAGAAAATGTTAGCTCTGTTATTTTGTAAGCTGGATTTTGGTTTTGGACACTCTTGTTATAAAGTTTTTATTTTATCAAAAATTGAAAAATAAGAAAATAAAATATTAATTTTAAAATATTTGTTCCTGTTCAAAATATTTGGTTTTTGTTGTTTGATAATTAAAAATATGCATATTAAATTAAATTTTTAATATAGAAAAATTATCATCATTTGATTATTTATGCATTCATAAAACGTTTTTGTAATGAAATTTGAATTCAAAAATAGATCAATCAATTTTAATCAGTATATATTAAAACTGAAAATGCAATTACACTAGAATTGAATAAATTTTTACATAGTACATTGTCTTCTGTTATTCTGATAAATATTTTGACTAAGGAAAGAAAAGTAAAAGATTAATAAAACTCTTACTTCTAACAAACATTCTATTTAAATATTACATCTTCATTTGTTTAAATATGCAAATTTTATTATGAAAAATTCTTCATCCAAATATCATAACACAAATATCCTATTGAATATTAATATATTCAATAGGATTATAATTAACATCTATTTTGTTATTCATACAGAAAAATTTATTAGAAATTTAGTTTGGACTCCACGTATAGTAAATAAACTGGAAACAGTTTTTCTTTAAATCTCTTACGTATTTCAAAATATTTTCAAGTTTTTATTGAGCTTTATTGAAGAAAAAATTAGAATCTATATTCTAAATAACAATTGTATGTTTATGATGATAAATTCAGTTATTATTTAGAATACTGATTCTAATTTTTTCTTCATGAACTAGAAAAAAGTTTATGCTTGATATTTAAACTTTTTTTAATAAAAATTATCAATTTAAATGTAATTTTTGAAAAAATTCTATAAATATAAATTTATTATATATTAATTATTCTTTTGTTATATTTTTTCATTCAGAAAATTTCAATTCAGTTATCTTTGTAAGTCTGAAGAAGAATGAACAAAAAGTATTTTTCATATAAATTAGTATTATTAATAAAAATTAATTTTCCTTTTAATCCTTCCCTACATAATAATTCAAAATTTACAGAATTTAAATAGTTTATATAAAATTTTACTTCCTTCTATTCAGAACTAATCTCCAAAAATTCAAATCAAACAATGTTACAAAAAATAGAAAATTTTTAATTTTACATATATTAGTTTTACGATTGTTCTGAAGAAAAGTTATTAATTTGACAAAACACTTTGGTTTCAATTTAACAGGCAGAAAATCATCCTATATGTTTTGAATATTTAAATGTTAAATTAAATATTTTATTATTCATGATTTTTTAAATTATTTTAATTTAAAATTTTATTGTTTAATTTATGCTATGCAATAACTATCAGCAATAAGTTATATACAGTATATTAAAAATGTAAAATCTTTTTCTAGCAAATTTTCAATATAATAATTTATATTCCAATTAAATTTATTTCACAGCATAGAATTTATATTATACAATATGATTTACATCAAATAGTTTAATACAGTGTTAGTTAATGTTAACAATAGAGAACAATTTCTCTGTTGAGGGGGAATTTTACAAATAATTTGAGAAAAATACATCTAGGAATAGTAAATTTAAAATTTAAAAATATTAAATTACAAATCAATTCTCATTTAGTTTAGACATCAATTATATTTACAAACGTGGTAAATCAAATGCTTTTCCAAAACAGCAGATGATTGTACAAACATTAATTTTGGTTTGACAAATAGTATTGTTCTGAAACTTTTACAAAGTAATTGTAAATTTTATAAAGATCCGTTTTATTAAGATCTCTTGATTTAAACTCCAGTTCTGAATTAGTCTGACATATTTGGGGTATTTTATAGTAATTACGTAGTTTTAAAAGTTCTTTACAACTTTGAATTAAGTGGAGTAGTGAAAATTCTTCAGAGTTGCATAAGGGACAGTAAGTTCTTGTTAGGTCGATATATATATTATTAATAAACACAGAATATTTATTTAAACGGAGTTGAATTATTAGACGTTTTACGTTTAGATTTATTGGCTGAAACATATAGGGTTGTAAAGATGGAATTTGCAATAGTTTAATATACCATGGATGATAACTGCTTTGGTACAATGAATCTTGATCTCTATTTATTGCTTGTGAAATTGCAGAATCTATTAGGAGAGAGTAACCGAATTTCCAGTCGTTAATATTGTCATTGAATAGTAATACTGATATACCAAAACTATTTAAAATATGAGTTAATTTGTATTGCCATAGTTGTTTGAATTTACGATCTTTACTATGATTAATATTTTGATGGTGAAGATATATTATTGTATTATCATTTTTGAATTTAATTCTGTAGTAAAATTTAATTATACGTTTTAAAACAAAGGGAAAAAACCAAATTCTATTTACTTCATGTCTCAAAGCGTAGCCTGGAACTGTTCTTTCAAGTTGAAGTAGTTTGCGTAAATAATAAACATGAAGAATTTCTAATTTAAATATATAATCTAAACTCCATATTGGACTTGCATAATATATTATTGGAACAATTGTTGAGTTAAATAGTTTAATATGAACTTTCAAGTTGGTAGTTTTCAGTTTAGAGCATAGAAATAATAGATTATCAATTGCTTGCTTTGCTTTAATTTTTATTTTATTAAAATGTGCTTTAAAGGATAAGTTCCACTCAAACCTGACACCCAAATAGTCTATTTCATTTACAGTTTGTAAGAGTATATTTTCATGATATATTTTAGTGTTATTTTCAGATATTTTACAGTTATTGCGGAATATGATTATTTTCGTTTTGGAAGAATTTATTGTTAAANTGTTTCGTCGCTTTTTATTAATCAGAGACTCAAATGAACCAAATATTTGCGTTTTTTCAAATAAATGAATTTATCTATTTCTAAATAAAAATTGAAAGTGTAGGTAGAAGTAATTTTTTAAAATATTTTGTTTCGTGATAAAATTTTAATACTTATTATTATAATCTAGACATGTTAATTTTTAAATATACTTGTATATTGGGCCACAAGTATATATTATATATACTTGTGGCCCAAAACTTCTTGACTTTTTTCAATGCGGCCCAGAGAAACAAAAAGGTTGGACACCCCTGATCTAGAAGTAGTTCGGAACATATTGTAAGGTCAATTGTTGATTTCCCCGAATGCGTTAAGCATGTATATTCCGCAGGAGTATCAGGTTTAATACGACCATTCAATATATAGAGTTTGTTTTCTTTTACGAAGTCTAGTAGCTTGTTCCCCAAATTATTAACCTGTTTATCTTTTGATGTTCGACTATTATTAATTAAATGATTTGGTCCCTTATATTTGGAATCCATTTTCTCACCAACTCTAGAGTTGAAGTCGCCCAATATAATAATATATGGAGTTATATAGTACCATGATTCTATAACTTTAAAGATTTCATTTAGAGTATTTAAATCACTGGGAGGAACATAAGTTAATAATATCATCATTATTTGGTTATTCTTATTTAATTCTTTATTTCCAATTATTGTGATGAGAAGTAAGATATAGTTCCTTGATTTTTTAACTTGAATTATTTTACAGTATTCCCTTACCATCAATAAACATAAACCACCACTTGGTCTTCTGGGACCTACTGGTTTACTTGCCGTTGAAGATTCAATTATAAATTTATTCGAGAAATTTGTAGAATAAAATTTTTCTGTTGTTATCCAAGTTTCTGTTATGCCAATAATAGCCAGATTATATCTAGTGTGCAGAGAATTGATAACTGAAGTTTTATTTTTTAGACCTTGACAATTCCAATTTAGTATATCAAAAGAGTGGTTATTATCAAGTTTGTTCGAACTTTGAATTTGCCTTTGATTTGTGTTATATCAACTTCCCCAGTCTATCAATTTACGGTAAGGTAAAAAAGTATCAACATATACCAAATTTTTCAAATTAGTATTGTAAGTAATTTTTTCAGATCCTGATATTAAGATGTCATTATGTAGTTTGGCCTGTGCATTTTGTTTCCGTATTTCATGTAACACTGGAAGTAGATTTTTTCGTCTTATTCTTGTGTTTTTATTAAGGTCTGGAGATATATGAGAATCTCTCCAATCTTCTAGCTGATTATGCAGAAAAAATTCGATTTCGGAGTTGAATTTTGTTAAAAATTATTTTAATGGTGATTTGTGGTGGTTTTGTTAACTGAATCACATCTAAAATGTCGTCTTGATTTATATTACAAATTTCCAATAAGGAAGTAATAAAATTATGAATTTCTTCTTTAGAAACAGATCTCGAGTTAGGATAGTTATATATTATAATATTATTACGATTATAATCATTTACTAAAGAATCCATTCTAAATTGTGTGAGGTCCTTCTCATTTTGCATAGTGTTAATTTGTTGTCATAAATTCATAATCTGTTCCTCCATTTCTGCCTGTTTTTCCCTGGTTTCATTTAAATTTACATGAATTAAGTTTAGTTCCTCCTTAAAATCATTTATTTGCTTAAATAGTTTGTCATTAGATGTTTTTATTAAGTTAGATATCTTATTCCATAGAATGGCAGATGAAGTGTCTAGTAACTCATCCGGGTTATATAGTAAGGAATCAAGTACATTTGGCTCACCTGAATATTCTTGAGTATTATGTTGGTCTGATATTTCATTAATTTTCCTGGCCTCCATATAAGTGTCTTGTAGATTTTTATCCGGTTGTAGGTTGTAGTCAGTAATTAAACGGGAACTTGTTGCAATATCGTCATTACGTTTACTTACTGATTTGGTTCTGGTGAGTGGTGGTCTTCCACGTTTGACTGGAGATCGTTGCATAACCATTAATGCCAAACTATTGTTAAATATATAGTTCTATAAATTATTGGTTTTCTTTTTAAAAGTCAAAAAATGATTAAATCAATTATTTGATTTAAGATATTATCACAAATGAAGTGAGCAGGAAATTTCACCAACAGCGCCAAAAGTCAGATACGCCCCCAATATAATAATTTATTTTGATAATTCATTATTATCAATTAAAATAGAGTAAATATATTGAATAAATTTATAATTTTTTTACTTCAATATAATTTTCATAATTTTAAACTTATAATTTATTCAAAAGTTTTCAAGTAAATACTTGTAACCATTATAAGTTTCCTAATTAGCAAGCTAAATGAAAGCAAATATTTGAATTAATTCATGAAACTACAGTGAATCAAATTGAAATTTTTTTTCCTTGATACAAGAATGAATTTTCATTCTAAGGATGAACTTGACAGGCACAATCAAATTTATTAGTAAGTTGTACATTCTTGATTTACATATACTATATGATAAATTTGCAAAGAATCAAAAGAATTTTGCAAGTTAGTACCTACAAACACATCTGGATTAATTACCAAATATTCAAAGGAAGAAATATGGAGCATAATTCCTTTTTGTGGGCTGTACTAGTTGACATTTATGAAGAACTGGAAGTTGTAAATGGTAATGATGTAATATCTGTACAAAGCATGTGAAAATACTACCAAGATTTTTAGTCTGGTCAAACAAAAATTAATTGACAAGAAAGGTCAGAAGCAACATTCTATAATAAATGAGCTTACATTAAAGAAGTTATTTGGAATAACCAAAAACTCTGTAAGAAATGTTTGACTGTATACATCAAATGATATGGGATATTTTCCATGAGTGTTTAGACTTTCAAAAATTTTGCTGTCATGGGTCTCATTTGCAGTTGTTTCTTATGATCAGAAACAACTGCAAATGGATCTTTCTCTCAATAACCTGAACCATTATGCAAAGTAGGATGATACATACTTGTGCTATATAGTCAAAGGAATGAATGTGGTTGCATCATTATGAGCAGTTTTTCTAAGATGGAGTCCAATGATTTGGAATCACCATATTTTCAAAAGAAATTCAAAACTTTCCCAGTACTGTTAGAAGTACCAGGTAAAATTATGGTCAATGTGTTAATGAACCAATACTTATTAATTTCACAGCAAAGGAAAAACAGTTAACATAATTTCCTGTGAAGAAATGCTTTGGAAACTCAACTCCGATCTCCCTTGAAACAGAGTTCTTTTTCATGACATTGTCTGTCCACACATTGCAAAAGATGCCACCAAACTTCTGAGGAAGCTGCAAATAGGAAATTCTTTTTCACCTATCATACAGCTTGGACTTAGCTCATCAGATTTTTACTGTTTGTGATATGAAGGCATATCTGCATAGAAGACAATTTTGAAAAGACAAAGATGTCAAACACAATATTTGCCAGTGACTGAAACATCAAAGCCCAGATTTTTTTCACAAAGGAATTGAACTTACTGTTAGATTGGATAAATATCTCAGCAAACATGGGATTATGTTGAAAAATAGAGAACCTTTTCAAAGCTAGTTAATGAATTTTTTGTAGACATTAATTATGTTAAAAATAAACAGAAACTTTAATTCCCAACACACTTTTGTACTTATTTGGTTTTAGTGCATATAGTAGAAAATTTTATTCAGTGTTTTGTTTTAAATTTTAATAATAAACAATACAATTGTTTTTCTTTATTTAGAGTATATTTTTTATAGTCGTTATTTAAGATAATTAAAAAGTTCTAAAGAAACTGAAAGATTTTGAAAAGTAAATGATTAAACTAATTTCTTGAAATATTGGCATAAAATTAAATCTAGATTCTAATTGGAAAGTTCATTCCAAATTGAACTATATTCAATCTTTATATTTTAATATATATATTTATTTGCAGTTTCATTATTAAACTATTCCATGACATTATTTTTATATAATCAGCTTTATAGTTTAGTTTATAATAAGTATGCCCCTGTAAAGCACACTTCATAGCAAAATACATAGTAACTTCAGAAAGATCTTTTAAAGGAGCAAAACAAATTTTGTTTATGTAATTCTTACAAATAATTTGAAAAATACTTGAAAAGTAAATCTGTTTTGAAATATTTAATATTATAATTATCAATCTGTTTATTCTATTTTTATAAAAAATTACTATACTTAGAATTAGAATTATTATAATATGTATCTTTAATAATCTCAGATAGTTTTATGCAGGCTAAATATTATATGTGATCTATATGCATATACAGTATATCATTATATATATAATGCAGTATATTTATCAAATATATATAAAAAAATTATTTATTTAGGTAATATGAAATTTGCATAACATTTTATATTAGATATATTTTTATATTTAAATTAAACAGTTTTTCTCTCCCAGTTTATATAAAGGATATAAATTTGAAAAATATATATTCATTATGTGGGACGAGAGATAAAATGATGAATATAAACATAAATTTTTTCTTATAAATTTTCAAACTCCAATTTNATAATATATAATATTTAATATTGCATTAAAAATTTTCTTTTATAAATATATGCAAAAAAATTTTCAAATAAAATGCTGTCATATAAACAGTTACACATTGATTAATCACCACTCATGGAAAACAAAATAAAATTTAATATTACATCATTTTACTTCTAGTAATTTTTCAACTAAACAATGCTTGAAAATATTTTGATCTATATGATGATATACTTTTTACATTTAGTAGCTTTTGATATTTTAATATTTCATAAACTGAAGAAATTTATCAAGTTTTTAGACTAAAAAATAAAATATGTAACTGTTCTATTTATAATCTGTGTAATGTTATAAATAATGCATGTCAGTTGCAGGTATTTCATTTTCCTGTTTGAATTTTGACTGAAAACAGTTTTCCAACAAATCCCTGTGTGAGTGTTATATAAACAGTAGGATTCACAAGCTTTTATAAGTAAATAGCTTTTTATATAATATGATTTTAATACTTATTTTAAATGAAAAACAGTGTGGAAAAACAGTTGTACTACAAAAGTTTGTTATTTACAATGAGGATTTAAGTAGATAATTATATTGCAAAAAATATAAAATAATAATATATTACTAAATATATATAATTATTATTATATTAATGATAATTGTATTATATAGCCACAAGAGAGAATTGTTTATAACATTAAGATAAATAAATATATATATATATCTTTATAAACATAATTTTGCTCAATTAAAATTTAAATTATCATATCTATAATTATCTATATTCAGTTGCTATTAATAATTTTAAGTTATAAATAATCCTCTCTTGTGACTATATAATATAATAATTATCATGTGATAAACAGTTTTTTAATAAAATTTATATCAATTAATTATGATCTTATTTATACACAATGAATTTCAATAGGAGAAATTAATCATCTGATTAAAATTTAGTTCATATTAGAATTGAGCAATAATAAAACTTTAATTTGAAAAATTATGTGAAAATTTTAGATGGAGATTTTACCAATAGGCAATCAAGATTCCTTCCAAGTAAAAGCTTGTAAATTCTAGTCTTCATTTAAACAGATTGTTATTAAGCATCTTAACTCCTCATTTTACTTGAGAGCTAATACTCATTAGTCTATAAGAAAAATGTGAAATTACAGCACCTAATAATAATCATTTTGAATGAAGATTTATATTAAGAAAGCTGTTATTTTCATAAAAATAACGTTTTTAAAAATAAAATTTACTCGGAAGAATAGAAAGTATTTAAGTGGTAAAATGCTTGTTAAGAAATAAAACATTTCAAATCAAATATTTAATTCTTGAATTTTAATTTTTAATAAAAATGTTTACAGTTGTTATATATATATATATACATATATATATATATATATATATATATANATTTCAATCATGCATATTTATCAACAAAATCAATATTACATTACAAAATTTCAGTGCATAGAAGTACCACGTAAGTGTGTTCTTTAATTCATGACATTCTTTCCAACACTTCAGGAACAAATAGCATTGAAATTTTGTAATGTAATATTTATCATCCTGGCAGTTTTAATTAATGTTTATAATTGTGAAATCAATATTATTTCAAAATTTTCAATCCATTTTTTTTGCATTCTGTGTTGAAAAGTCAATACTTTTCATCAAATGAAGTTCAAGCATGTACAGAATGTACAGAAATGAATTAAGGAAAAAGCAGAAAGATTTTTCAGGCATGGAATGAAAAAATAGATTGAAAATTTGAAATATTTTTGATTAAAATAATTAAATTTTTACTATGTAAATTTATATATTCGGTATAAACATATTAGTATATTAAATATGCATAAATATATTGAATGAGCTGTAAAAACTGAAAATGTTAAGAGAAAAAGAAAAGAGAGGGGAAGGAGAAAGAGAGAGCAATCAATATTCCTTCGATTCCTGTAGTGGACATTCAGTAATACGAATGAACAGTTACGTCACGATAACGGAAGTAAATTATAATGAAGCATTTACCTGATATAACTTGATGATGTGCGGATGATTGAGCAATTTCATGATCTGTACTTCACGATAGACTTTCTCTAGATTCGTTGCATCTAATACTGTTTTATCCACAATTTTAATGGCTACCTATAATATATAAAATGCATTTTCCTTCTTTTTCTTATAAGTCATATTAATCGTATTCTTTTCAAACAATTATATAAAATAAATGTATTTTTCTGATTGGTCGAGTCTAGTTTCAAAAATCGATAAATGAACTTTTGAAGCGAATTAATACGGGTTCCTGGTTAATTTAAATATAACGAAATATTTAGTTTTATCCAGTTTGATTGGCTTTTATTTGTCTATTTTTTTGTTACTCCGATTCTTCTTATATTTTTAATTTTACAAATTTTTTACCCGAAAAAATTTTTTCTTTATTTAATTTTTAATTTTAGAAAACAAAGAAAACATTTGCGTGGCCTTTTAAAATGGCCTCCGCCACATATGTCGTTCACTCCACTTGTGCTGAAACATTAATGAGTTGCACTTTTATTTGTTCTAAAAATTGAAGAAATAAAGATTGAGGGCAACGGAGAGGAAAATGAAGATCGATTGGTTTACGAAAATTCCCGTAATCATTTTGATACATTATTATTTAGTAAAATTATCTGTATAAATAAATTAAAATTTTCTTGTTTAATAACGTCTAAATATATATATATAGTACACAATTTAAAAAAAAAAATTGTTTAAAAATCGAATTTTCCTTATGATAATTATTGTTCCACCGCAAGAAAAACTAAGTGCAGATAAATTGTTTTACGCGTTATCGATCGAAACCACGTGTTTAGTTCGGTATTATCGTATAGAAACAAATAGCCTAAATCAACAACCGACCCTTCTTATCCGCGTTTACAGCAAGTTATGGTTTTGTATGGTTAGCTTACCTCCGTCTTTGTTATCCTGTGTCGAGCAGCTTTGACCACGGCAAAATTTCCTTTGCCTATAGTCCTCTCGATATCGTAGAATCCGACGCGAATAGGTCCTTTGGGTTTTTCGGCCATTTCGCATATTAATCGTTAGCGTTATCCGTGCGACCTGCAAACTTATCCCGCACATCCCTCCAGCTGGTGTTTGATGGGCCAGCCATGCTGCTTGCTCTTCACGTTTTGTCTCATTTTGGTTGTGCCGTGACGTCATCGGATATCGACTTATTACGGCATCTGCGATTTCGGATTTATTGACGTCCAGTCTACGTTATAATCGAGTGTTGTCCCGAAACGGTATATAAAAGAAAACCGATAGAGATGTTCTAATTGAATATACAGAATTAACATTTATAGACTTTTACATATGTCTATATCCGATAATGTGATCTTTTGTCATTATTTTTTCTTGTGAGGAAAATAATAATATAAANTAGCCTAAATCAACAACCGACCCTTCTTATCCGCGTTTACAGCAAGTTATGGTTTTGTATGGTTAGCTTACCTCCGTCTTTGTTATCCTGTGTCGAGCAGCTTTGACCACGGCAAAATTTCCTTTGCCTATAGTCCTCTCGATATCGTAGAATCCGACGCGAATAGGTCCTTTGGGTTTTTCGGCCATTTCGCATATTAATCGTTAGCGTTATCCGTGCGACCTGCAAACTTATCCCGCACATCCCTCCAGCTGGTGTTTGATGGGCCAGCCATGCTGCTTGCTCTTCACGTTTTGTCTCATTTTGGTTGTGCCGTGACGTCATCGGATATCGACTTATTACGGCATCTGCGATTTCGGATTTATTGACGTCCAGTCTACGTTATAATCGAGTGTTGTCCCGAAACGGTATATAAAAGAAAACCGATAGAGATGTTCTAATTGAATATACAGAATTAACATTTATAGACTTTTACATATGTCTATATCCGATAATGTGATCTTTTGTCATTATTTTTTCTTGTGAGGAAAATAATAATATAAATCAATAAATTATTCTTTTTATCATTTTTAAAGAATTGTTTTTCTTTATAAAAATAAAAGAGAATATCATTTTCGGAGTTAAATCAGCCGAAAAAAGAAAAGCTTTTTTATAGCACAGTAAACAAAAAATATTATATTTTTAGTGGTTTTTAAAAAAATTTTTCTTGGATTTCCATCCAATAATTCGTAGGAAAATATAAACTTATTTTTCTTCCATCGATTATTTTATTAATCTTGGAATAAAGTTTGTAATTCTTCATATAATTAATAAATGCATATGTAATTTATAGTGTTTTATATTATTAACTGACCTTTAAATGAACTCTTAATTTGGCATCAGTTTAAATTTTTACAAACATTTTGTGATTTAAACCGTAATCTAATTTTATTTTTAATTTAGAAAATAATTATGTTTAATAATCATTCATTACGCAGCATACAGAAAAGTTTCATTGCATAAAATAATTTATATTATTATAAAATACTGTATTTCAAATTAAATTTTAGATTTTGATTTCAGTAGTACAAGCAAAGTAGATTCTCTTTCTATAACTGGTGGATAAATATGATATTAAAAGGAATAAAATAATGGTAAATAAATATCATAAAAGGCAGAATGAAATGTTTAAATATAAAACAAGGATGTGCAAAAGTAAATATAAATTAAGTGATAGACTATTGAATACAGACTAAACAAATATTGATAACTTAAAATTGTTAATTTTTTAAAATTTTGTGATATTTTTAATTTACATTAGGAGGTAAGGAAAATATAAAGGAAAGTAATTAATATTTTGCGTATTAAAATACACAATACAGTATATATATATTTAACAGAAAGGTTTATTTTAGTTTTCTAAAAATCGATTTTAGAAGCGAGTTAATTATATTTAAAAACTTTTAAAATGATATAATGAAATTATTTGAATGGAAAAACTTAAGTTATTTTTATAGTCTATTTGAATATTTTGATGGAGAGGGAAAAAGTTAATTATTAGAAAATCGGATTTACACGAAGAAACCGGAAAACGTTAATAGGTAAGAATTATATTAAATATCCAGATTTAGAATATTCACAGATATAAGTTGTTACACAATCGAAGAGATCAGTAATTTTGGAAGTGTGTGATTTTTCTAAATTCGATATATTTGATAAAGAATTTACTGTATAATAATTTATTTAAAACATATATATATGTGTGTGTGTTTGTTTGTTTTAAATAAATATACTTTCATTAATCATATAGGATAAAAATTAAATAAAACTGCAGTATGTCTGAATGAAAAAATAAAGTCCATAAATAATAAAGACTAGGCATTCATTAAAAATAGAATCGTTACAAGTAACTAAAAGAAATTTTTATCTATAAGAATAAAATATTGCTATTAAAATATGGTAGAAATAGATTTTAGTAAAAGTAATATATAAAATAACTATCAAAACTGGGAAAAACTAAATAATTCAACTCAAAATGAAAATAAATTGATTTATCTGGGAGCTATTCGGTTGTCTGGTAGATTTGTTTCATTTTTTTTTTCTTTCTTACTAAAACAATTATTTCTTTTTTTGCTTATAAATACATAATATTGATCCCAACAAAATTATTTTCACTGTAATTTGAAATTTAATTATTCATAAATGCACGTAATGATGATGATTATAATTTTTCAAAAGTAAAAGATATTGAAGAATTTTTCTGTATATACTTTTATTGAATAAGTAAACTACTTTTCCTATTATTTTTGTATTTCAAATCCAAAACTAAGTATTACTTCAATTATATGTTTTAAGAAAGAATATATATACCGAGTGTCTTCAAGGACGAACATATTGTATAAACTATTGTAAATATGACAGCACAAAAAGTTTTGGATTGATACTTATTATTTTAGATTTGTTTACAAACTAATATATATTTTTTTAAATTTTAAAATAAATTCTTTAATCATATCGATTTCAAGGATTTCTTTAAGCTAAATTTTTTAAGTTGAACTATAAAAATACAAATAACTTCTTTTAATTATCCTTGAATTCGTTTATACAGTATATTAGCAATAAAAGATTTATAACGTATTTTATTGCTAATATGGGTCTGTCAGTAAATTATTATAATTATACTGAGAAAAACTTGGTATTAATATATATAGGTCTATATTTATAATGGAATCAGTCCTGGATTTTAATTATCAAAATTTATATGTATAGTCTACAATATGGTAATAGCAAAATATCAGGCTAATATTAGAACTCGTAAGTTTTTGTAATGGAATAAGGTGTAAATTGTGCAAAATATTTTATAAAATATTTGTCTTTTCGCTAATTATTTCGTAATGGAAATTGGTTTAGTAACAATTCTATCATTTATTTTCGTTGTAGTTATTTAAACACTAATTCGAATTTTAATAAAATTAATCAAAAATTTATTTAAGAATTACATTATAAATATAGCAAACAAATATGATAGTGGATATAATAATCATTTCCACGTTGTTATTATAGCAAAATTCAAAATTATGAATATAGATTATATATAAAATTTTTGGCATCAAGGCCGATAAGGGTACCATACATTTACTTTTCTTCTCTTTCTAATAGAAATAGCAAAATGAGCCTGAATGCTTTTAAAAGTATTTTATACACCTAATCATCTAACTCAAAAAAAGAAGAGTTTTCGTTTCTTTTTTATTAAAAAATTATTTGCAGAAATTTCTGTTTTGGTATAGAAAAGCCGTTTATAAAATAATTTTAACTGTTTTGAAAATTAAGTACAGTTTACTGTAGGAAATATTTTCAATACTTTTATCTAATTTAAATAACTAAACAATTACATTATTTATTTAAAATATTACTAGAACTTTTAATCCAAAAGTTTTAGAAAAATCTAAACAAACGATTTATTTTAGCATATTAATATATCATTTGTCAAATGATCATTAAATTGCAGTATTGTGTATTTAAATTTATTCATATAACAATGTTAAAATGACAAACGATGTCAAATTCTCTAGAACACTTTAAATCGGGCGTGTGGATATAAAAACTCATTTATAAATCATATAGATTAATTGAATTCTATCTTTATTTGTGTATTATAAATCATCACTTTTTATTAATACTCAATTTTTATAAATACAGTATTACATTGTAATAAAATAGGAAAAAAATCATATTTATAAAAATATATCAAATACGTGACAAACACAATATCACCTTTATATCAAATATGAAGTAACTTGAGGCTTGACAACAAGTCAATATGTATTGTCACCTAAATATTTATAAGTAGAAAATGTCAAGATATAAACCAAATAAATCTTTGGCTGATAATGAAAGTTTTTCATTTGTTATGAGAATAAAGAATGAAAGTACTCCTATTTTCTTATCCCAATTCAACTATAAGTTGTCAACGGGAATTTCGGTCATCTGCAGTTAAATAAAGCTTTTAATATTAGATCTAAAGTTCAACTTCTGTATGAAATAAACAATGATGGGCACTATGTACTATACATAAAAGTAGTTAACCAAGGGAGAGTGGAGACTGTTGTAACAAAAATCATTTCTGATTTTTTTCTTGAGTATCAATATACGAAATAAAGTGAAACATACATTTATCAAGTAATATCCTTTTAGTTTAATGTGAAAAATTTGAAATGCAGAAAACTATTTTGCAATATACATAAATGAATATTTATTGAAATAGAATACAGTGAAATGTTATACAACTGACTTCAGTTTATGGTCAATTGTAACATGTATTGAGGTCAGTTGTACATATTATACGATATTTTAGTATTTCCTGCTTTGGAACAGGCAACATTAAACATTGAAAATATTGAAATGAAGAAACGGGAATGGGAAAATTGGAAATTGAATGCATGAACAATTGAAATGTTTAAAGATTTTCCCAAAATTTTTTGTAGTTCGGAGCCATCGGAATTGCAATATTAGCATAGGTATGCCACATTAACTGCTAATCTGTTTTTATTTGTTTATGGCAATAACCTTACTTGATGCCTGGACTGTTACACTAGTCTCGTCAACATTGTAAATGCTGTGTGGCTCAAACTTGCTCTTTCCATCGCTTCAGCAAGCTTATCGAAGAATTTGTTTACTTTAAGACTTGAAATTCGTGGCTCTTGCGATGCTAGTTGATTTGGGCTTTCTAACAGATAGCCATTTCATTTTCATTCCACTTTTCTGGATCATTTAAGTTATATTTCATAGCGTGTTGATAGGCCATCTTTCGAACATCCTCGGACGTAAGACCATAGTTCAGGTCAAC